AGGTGGCCATGATGAATCTGGCAACCTGATTAGTTCTAGTGTTTCTTAAGAATTGGGGGCTAAATTTTTTGCATTAATGATGGAATGCTTGACTACATAGATTGGTCTTTCTTCTCTATAAGAGGCCCTTGTCTATGTACTTTAGTCAGAGCATTGTGGTTAGTATGATGATCTGCTAAAACATTTCCTCTAATGTCTATTTTACTATGGACTTCTGCCTTTAGGACAGCAGTTTTTCGGGAAGCTTTCAGGCATCAAGTAATTTGTATATTTGTTATTCATTTTTAATACAGATAACTGAAGAGGATAAAAGTCTCTTTTCTTTCCATTGCATTCCAAAGTTGTGAATACTTCGAAAGCAAAAAAGCAATCAGTGTATTACCCTTTTATTTTTAGCAATCTCACATGCCCTAGAGAGGGCCATAATTTTGGTGACTTGAGCCAATTTGCTACCTGGTAATGGATTTGAGATTCTATAAGAGAATCTAGAAAGATTATCACATAATCAGTTTATTATTATCTTCTTTCATTTTTAGGATAAAAGCTATCAATAAACAATATTAAACCAAGATTTAGTATAGGAGCATCCAGAAGATCTGTTCCAGGAATGGACAATTCTCAGGTTACAGAAATCATGAGATTCTCCTTCACTGGTGTGGACAATACAGTTACTGTATTAAGAGTGTTACATTGGTGAATGGTATTATGAGATAGAGAAAGTAACTATTTTGTAGTTAATCAACTAACATAAAAATACTGGGTATTTTCAGTTAACAACAGGGATTGTGTTGAATGCGATACCATAAAATAGGAAGATGAACCTAGTACAGGATCTGAAGGTTCTTAGACTAATTTAGCCAAGATTGCATTTTTTTCTGACAAAGATAAAAAGCCTTGCTAGATCAGGGAATAGGCATTCATAGGCAATGAGTTTTTGATGTGTGCCAAGTTGTTGAGTTAATACCGTTAAACTATGGCCTCCCGGTTTGTGTGCTTCAAAAAGAAAGCTTTATGATGATCTGGAAGATCAGCAAAGATGATTGTTGAGGAAATATTTTGAGATCACTGAAGGTCTTTTTGGTTTCTGTGTTTTGTGAGAATGATTCCAAGAGGTTTGATTAAGTCAAATCATATAGAGGCCTGTCTATTTCAAAAAACTTGCTACCTATACTCTACAACATCAAATTAATCCCAGAAATCATCTTAATTGTTTTAGTGGCCAGCCTTGAATAATTTGGGATTAATTGTAGTCTCTCATTAGACTCTGTCCTTCGTAGCCAATATATCCTGGCCTAGATCAGGGGTTGGCAAACCATGGCCTCCTGTCCAAATCTAGCCCACTGGCTGTTTTTGTACAGCCTGTGAACTAAGAATGGTTTTTACATTTTTAAATGGTTGAAAAAAATCAAAAGAATAATGTTTCATGATGTGTAAAAATTATTTAAAACTCAAATTGCAGTGTCCATAAATAAAGTTATTGGAACACAGCTGTGCTTATTCACTTATGAATTGTCTATGGCTATTTTTGCACTATAATAGCAAAAGTTGAATAGATGTGACAGAAACTATATGTCTCACAAGGTCAAAAATGTTTAGTATCTGGCCCTTCACAGAATAAGTTTGCTGAACCCTGGGTAATTAACTATTATTTTTTAGAATTAAAATTTTGCCTTAGAAAAGCTTTGTGAATAGAGTTATAGAGTCAATCTTAGAATCTCAAGATGGGTTATCTTTAAGATCTTGGTTTAAGACATGAGAAAAGTAGGATGGGGCTTCAGTAAATGCCTGAAGTATAACTTTCCAGGTAAATTGTTGATTTTTCCTTGGTAAAGGCAATATATACTGGCTATCTTCATCAGCTAGGATATGAAAGAAAGTAAAAATAGGACCAAAGAGAGTATATTTGGGTTAGGCAGTACTAGAAAATAAAGTTTAAGTCTTTATTAAGACTTAATTAATAATAAGTCTTATTATTATTATGGTTAATAGCTCGCAGATATTGGATAAATCTATGTCCTCCACCATCACAGTTTTTTTTTTTTTAAACAGGCATATTGCTTGGACAATCAATCCTTGTTATATTAAAGGATAATTAATCCTTCTTATATTAACTCTGTTATAGTTGGCTTAGATCGTCCTTAACTTCAGCATTAAGAGGATTTTAGGCAACAGTGTCAACAGAATCTATCTGAACTCTTCTGGGTTTAACTCCAATTATTCTGCCTCTTTTCCCCTCAGGAGTTCGGGTACCATGGGGAATTATTTGGCTATTTTATTTATTTATTTATTTATTCATTTATTTATTCATTTATTCATTCATTCATTTTTATTTATTTATTTATTTATTTGGAAGATCAGCTCTGAGCTAACATCTGTTGCCAATCCTCCTATTTTTCCTGAGGAAGATTGGCCATGGGCTAACATCCATGCCCATCTTCCTCTACTTTATATGGGATGCTGCCACAGCATGGCTTGACAAGCCGTGCGTCGGTGCATGCCCGGGATCTGAACCTGCGAACCCCCGGGCTGCCGAAGCAGAGTGCGCTCACTTAACTGCTGCACCACCTGGCTGGCCCCTATTTGGTTATTTTTTTGAATCAATATACTAATGTCCATAGCTGTAATTTGATAATGTGCAGTAGAATTTTCTGTGACTCCTGAAAAAAATTTGTCTGAGGTACATTTCTTCTGGTGGTTCTTTTTGCAAAGTAGATTCCTAATGAAATTTATAGAAAAGTGCCTTAGAGAAGAAAGGAATGTTCTTCTGACAGTTGTCTCCAAGTAACAGTTACAGTTTGGGACATGGAAAAGGACTTAGTATTGTTAGGAATTCCCACTACTTGAATGGTTTTAGTACTCTGAGCCATCAGATTTTCTATGGTGGTGGGATTAATAGTAAAGGTAGTGGCACCTGTATTGACAAGAAAACTGTATTGTTGTTCATCTGTATTTATAGATCTACTCAGAATCTTCTATTGAGTGGAAATTTTTTCCTTTAAGTGGCATCATTGGGCAGATTTTGGATAATTATGCTATTTCTTAACCAATATGATGCCTTGGCTCATCCAATGGCCCTTCTACTTGCAATTTTTCTAAGCATAGGCATAGGGAACTGAGGACCTTTTAGTATTATTTTTATTTGAGGAACCAGGTATTTTATGTGGAGATCTGGAATTTGTTTTCCTTTCTGGCTTGCTACCTCCTAGGGTTTTTGAAAATGTTCAACCACGTGTTGGAGATAGTCTAAACTGGCATTGTCCCATTCCAGTTTATTTTTCTAACACCCCTATTTTATATACCAAAAAAAGAGAAAAAGAGGCTCAATTTATCCCATAAAACTGTTTAAAGCTTACTGGAATCTAGTTTTAAACTCTCTTATTAATCTTTATTGTTTTTTCTATTTTGAACTTTTCATCCAATTTATCCTTAAGGGAAAGGCTTCATAAACGTTCTTGTATAGTACATTTCCTAATTTTTTTTTTTGCCCATTTAGGAATATTTTAAAAATTATGCACAGCTGAGTTATTTAAATCCTGTCTTGGTCTTTCCCATCCTGTTCTTTTGACAGTTTTCCCTACATGAAGTTCTAAAAGTTAAGTGATTCAGCTGGTTTAGATCTGGTAGAGTCTAACAAAATCATGAATTCTGAAGCAAATTTCTAGTTTCCTGAGAATTAAGAAAACCCTTAATTTTAGAGCTCAACTCAGGTCTAGACCATGGTTTAATTCAACTTCTGTGATCTGTCTTTTGATCTAGCATGGGGATATTGTGCAATGTGTTTGTTTCTTTCCTAAGAAAAAGGTGAAAAAGGGCAGCTTGTTTAGGGGATCATGAGAAGGAGGAAATAGAAAGAGTGAGAATGAGAATGAAGACAGAGTTGTGTAGACAGAAAGAGAGATAACTTGAGTCTTGGAAAATGTGAGGTAGCTACTGCTTCCTTCTCCTGGGGATGGCCTTCTTATCACTGATTTCACCCAGAAATGATCTAAAATTGGCAATGATGATAAAAGTAGCTGTCTATTAAATTTAATATAGCTAATATATGTATGGACTGAAGTGTAAGATGAAATGCTGTGTATTGCAAAAAAAAATATGACAGTTCCTGCCATGAGAGAGTTACACTCTAGTAGAAGTAGTAGAGAGTGAGGGAACCAATGTGAATTGTGTACTTTTCTATGTACCAGACATGTTTCTAGACCCTGTAAATATTGTATCATATTTAATCTTCAAAATAATCCTGAGAAATACATTGATTACCCCTCCCCTTCCCCATTTTATGGTTTGGGCAATGAAGACTTTGAGAATTTAAATGGCTTTACCAAGGTTACACAGCCCGAAGAATATGAAGCCAGGATTTGAATCTGGTCTAAGACATATACAAATAACTGTCGAAGACAGAATGAGACATACAGTTACAACGGCATAAAAATGGGCCATTGGAGTTGAACACCATCAGAGTCCCTTTAGTTCAGGAATATTTAAGGAGGGCTTCATGAAGGAGATAGCATTTGAACTGGGCTTTGCAGGTTGAGGGTAGGATTTTAACAGGTGAATATGGCAAGGAAGGCAAATGAATGGTAGAGCTGGGATTGAATCCAATTCAGTCTGAAGCCAAAGCCTATTTTTTTTCCATTACACAAAACTAGAACAGTGAGAGCAAATGTGGGAAACCAATGCGACTGAAAAGGGATTGTATTACCTTGAGTTATAGAAAAAAGGCTGAAAAGGAAGATCCAGACAAGAACATGAGGTTCTATGCAAGTACAACAGGTTCTATGATATAGAAGAAATCATTCCAAATACCATAATTACCTATGGAGATTACATTTGATTTCTCTCCTTGGCAACTTTTATCTCAGGACTGGTATTTCAGAGGGCCTGGTGGGTTGAATGCTAATGGAGCAACATGGCGGTAAGGCTGGGTGTGGGGCTATATAACAGGAGAATTGGAAAATGCTTTTGATAGAAGCCAATGTGTTCTCTGATGTATTTATTTTTAGCTCAAACCATTTTACAATATGAAACCCTTATCAAAGGCTGATAGTGAAAAAGCAGAAAATCAGACGATTCCAAAACTAGCTGATTTATTGGAACTTGCACGGAAGGAAAAAAAATTTGTGATATTTGATCTTCATAGGCCTCCACAAAAACATCCTGTCAGAAACACGTATGTCCGCCGTGTAGTAAACGTGATCCTTGACTCTAAAATTGAGCAACATCTGGTATGTCTGTCTCAGTATTTGTGGTAGAGGTTGGGGGGTGGGTAGCATGTCCTAGCAGCATAGCGGTTGAACCTGACCTACTTTGTAGATCTTCCCTGGGATCCTTAAATAATTTTGCTCTCTATAGAAATGGAGATTGTTGCTTATACAGCTACATGTGGCAATCTAAGAATGACCCAATTAAGTTTATCTCAATGGGGAAAAACATTGAGGCTGTTTGTTATTCCAAACCAAATGAAATATCAGCACTCTGTTAAAAAGAAATGTGTGTAATGATTATATGATGTGGTCTGCATCATCACCAACACAGAATTATTAGAAAGGGCCTGGGTAACACTAAGGCTTTGAGGACTTGGCTTTAATTAATGATATAGAAAGAACAGCTGGTTCTTATTTGAGCAGAGATTTGTTCATGTTTTTCAGAAGCAACTCTGCATCTGGGTAGTCAGTCATTCCAAATCTCTTAAATTCTTAGAATATGGAAGAGTGCTATGAGGAAAACAAATATGTGTCTTTCTGCAAATGGAACTGTTTCCATAGATAAGTCATAATAGCATTCCCTGTTGGCAGGAAATGACCCTTCTCAAAGATGATTTTTAGCATCATCAGCCAGAGGAGATGTTTATGATTCCCACCTTTCTACCACACCTACCACTCCTCACCCACTTTAGCTAGTTTGAGGCTCTCTGCACAAAATGGACCCTTTACCCATGATGTTAACTGAGAAAACTCAACTCCAGAGCAACCCTGGTGAAAGCCTCATTATAATTGTTCATGTGACAATATTAGGCCAGACTGCCTCTTTCAACAACAGCTAGAATCTCTCTGCTCCCTATAGACTGTTAACCAGTGCTGGAATAGAGCTCCATCCATTCTACATGAGGCTGTTTGCCTAGACAGCTGATTATCCACTGAAGGACTTCCTGTTTCTCTTTACAGATTTTTTGGTTGCCGGGTTTTGATAGGGAGTATGTCAAGAGAAGAGCTCCTGGTTTTCAGCAGGTGGGCCGGTTCTTATCCATTGAAAACCTTGCAAAAGAAAATATCAGGATAATAAATGTTGACTATAAGAAGTTGTTCTACAATGGATTGAGGTAAGTGACCACACCTCTCTTGGCATGTGTTGGCTTACTTGCACAAAATCTTCATTCTAGCCAAGCTACTTAGCTTCCCCTTCCCATCCCAGGATTTCTGTGTGTGGCTATCTTTTTGGAATCCCCTGTTTTCCCCTTCTTACCCTTCCCTCCCTCTCCTCCTCCCTCCCTCTGCCGATAAACGTTTATCAAGTATAGACTGTGTCTCTGGAACATAGACTTCAGCCCCTTCTCCTTTGTGTTCCAATCTCTCATCATTCATTACACTTTTTTGTATGCTTGGTGTTTTTGTTTTTATGTAAGGTGATCATTGAAAAGTAAGAACTTAAAAAGTTGTTTATTTCCTCCTGCTGTTACCAGATGGATTGCAGTACCTCCTAAATAGCTTTGTGATCCAGAAAGCCATATTTCTTATGGGGATAATTAAGAACATAACTAAATCGTTATTTAAAACAAAAAAAAAACTTAAGACAACCAAACATGAGAAAAAACTAAAATTATGAAACACCACTAATTAGAGACAGATTTTCAGAATTAAAAGCACCAGGGAATAAAATTGTAACTTTTTCAAACTTAACTGTTATTAATCACTGCTTAGTTTAATCCATATCCCCTTTCTGCTATATTTAAAAATAAATTTTTCAGATAATTCTAAATGCTTCAGAGACAGAGTCTTCCTTGCGGAAATATATATAAATCCAAAATCTCCTTAGACTTAATAAAAACACCCCTTAGATACCTTTCTGCATCTCAAGCCATGAGCTAGGCTTTTGGATGCACCTTTGTTCCTGCTTTTCCTTCTCTCTGGCCATGGGGTGGTTGATCATAAAATATATCTTTTTTCTTTTAGCATATATGCTAAAATGAAAATTATAACTGTTTTACCTCTATTTCCCACTCAGAAGATTTATCTTTGCCCAAATCCTCCTCTATTTTGAATGTATTTCTATTTCCTTTTACTTTTTTTCAAATAGAAAATGGCTCTAAGATGATTTCCTTCTCTCCCAATCATAATTTAGATTAATCTAGTAGTTGAGAATAAGTATAATAGCTTCCATTAATTGAGCCGTTATTATGTGTCAAGTTCTGTGGTTGGTAGACCACATGCGCTTTTTCAAATCCTGGCCTACCAGTCAGCTGCACATATGACTTTGGACAAATTTATTATTTTTTTTTATTGTGGTAACATTGGTTTATAACATTACATAAATTTCAGGTGTATGTCATTATACTTCTATTTCTGCATAGATTAGATCATGTTCACCACCCAAAGACTAATTACCATCCATCACCACACACATATGCCTAATTGTCCCTTTCGCCCTCGTCTCTCCCCGCTTCCCCTCTGGTAACCACCAACCCAATCTCAGTCTCTATGTGTTTGTTTGTTGTTGTTGTTATCTTCTATTCATGAGTGAGATCATATGGTATTTGACTTTCTCCCTCTGACTCATTTCACTTAGCATACTACCCTCAGGGTCCATCCAGGTTGTTGCACATGGCAAGGTTTCATCTTTTATTATGCTGAGTAATATTCCATTGTGTATATATACCACATCTTCTTTATCCATTCGTCCCTTGATGGCACCTAGGTTGCTTCCAAGTCTTGGCTATTGTGAATAATGCTGCAGTGAACATAGGGGTGCGTATATCTTTATGCATTCGTGTTTTCACATTCTTTGAATAAATACCCAGCAGTGGAATAGCTGGATTGTATGGTAGTTCTATTCTTAAATTTTTAGGAATCTCCATAGTGTTTTCCATGGTGGCTGCACCAGTTTGCATTCCCACCAGCAGTGTATGAGAGTTCCCTTCTCTCCACATCCTCTCCAACAGTTGTTATTTCTTGTCTTGTTGATTATAGACATTCTGATGGGCGTGAGGTGATATCTCATTGTAGTTTTGATTTGCATTTCCCTAGAAATTAGTGACGTTGAATATCTTTTCATGTGCCTGTTGGTCATCTGTATATCTTCTTTGGAAAAATGTCTGTTCAGATCTTTTGCCCATTTTTAATTGGGTTGTTTGTTTTTTGTTGTTGTTGAGATGTATGAGTTCTTTATATATTTTGGAGATTAACCCTGTATCAGATATATGGTTTGCAAATAACTTCTCCCAATTATTAGGTTGTCTTTTCGTTTTGTTGATGGTTTCTTTTGCTGTGCAGAAGCTTTTTAGTTTGATGTAGTCCCATTTATTTATTTTTTCTATTTTTTCTCTTGCCTGGTCAGACATGGTATTTAAAAAATTTGCTGCCTAAGACCAATGTCAAAGAGCGTACGGACTATGTTTTCTTCTAGAAGTTTTATGGTTTCAGGTCTTACATTCAAGTCTTTAATCCATTTTGAGTTAATTTTTGTGTATGGTGTAAAATAATGGTCTACTTTCATTCTTTTGCATGTTTTCCCAACACTATTTATTGAAGAGACTTTCCTTTCTCCATTGTATGTTCTTGGCTCCCTTGTTGAAAATTAGCTGTCTATAGTGTGGGTTTATTTCTGGGCTCTTGATTCTGTTCCATTGATCTGTGTGTCTGTTTTTGTGCCAGTTCCATGTTGTTTTGATAACTATAGCTTTGTCGTATATTTTGAAGTCAGGGAGTGTGGCACTTCCAGCTTTGTTCTTTTTTCTAAGGATTCCTTTGGCTCTTCAGGGTCTTTTGTTCCATATAAATTTTAGGATTCTTTGTTCTATTTCTGTGAAAAATGTCGTTGGAACTTAGATAGGGATTGCATTGAATCTGGAGTGCTTTAGGGAGTATGGACATTTTAACTATGTTAATTATTCCAATCCAGGAGCACAGAATATCTCTCCATTTCTTTGTGTCTTCTTCAGTTTCTTTCAACAGTGTTTTATAGTTTTCAGTGTATGGGTCTTGCACCTCTTTGGTTAAATTTATTCCTAGGTATTTTATTCTTTTTGTTGCAATTGTAAATGGGATTGTATTCTTAATTTCTCTTTCTGCTATTTCCTTGTTAGTGTATAGAAACACAACTGATTTTTGTATGTTGATTTTGTATCCTGCAATTTACTGTATTCATTTATTACTTCTAAAGGTTTTTTGATGGATTCTTTAGGGTTGTCTATATATAAAATCATATCATCTGCAAATAGTGACAGTTTCACTTCTTCCTTTCCAATTTGGATCCCTTTTATTTCCTTTTCTTGCCTGATTGCTCTGGCTAGGACTTCCAATACTGTGTTAAATAAGATTGACAAAAATGGGCATCCTTGTCTGATTCCTATTCTTAAAGGGATAGCTTTCAATTTTTCTTCATTGAGGAGGATATTAGCTGTGGGTCTGTCATATATGGCCTTTATTATGTTGAGATACTTTCCTTCTATGCTCATTTTATTCAGATTTTTTATCATAAATGGATGTTGGGTCTTGTCAGATGCTTTCTCTGCATCTATTGAGATGATCATGTGATTTTTATTCTTCATTTTGTTAATGTGGTGTATCATGTTGATTGATTTATGGATGTTGAACCATCCCTGTATCCCTGGAATAAATCCCACTTGATCATGGTGTATGATCTTTTTAATGTATTGTTGTATTTGATTTGCTAGTATTCTGTTGAGGTTTTTTGCATCAAAGTTCATCAGTGATATTGGCCTGTAATTTTCCTTTTTTGTGTTGTCCTTGTCGGGTTTTGGTATCAGGGTAATGTTGGCTTCATAGAATGAGTTAGGAAGCTTCCTCTC